TTTCATAAGATTAGTATGGAAGGAAAAACATAATTCTACCAACTGAAAGGCTATGTCCCTCTAATCTGCCCATATGTAGATTCGTTAACATTGTTCTTCCAGTAATTTCAGGTCTCTTAACCACTCAGAAAACATCAAGCTTGAAGCTATAACTGTATTTCGCTAATTGTGCAATTATTCTATAATTTTTGTGTCTTTGGTTTATTTTGGGACAAAGTAACGAAATGAAAGATTCCTCCTGAATCCGATCCTGAATGCAAGATATAATATACCGAACGAGTACGGTTGTACATGGGGCACGTCCTTACCAAAATAGTCGTCCTTAATTGATGGGTTTTTGCTGACAGGGTTCATCGAAGGTCTTGTTAGGCCTGCGTATCAAATTCCGTAAGATCAGCTGTATTCCATACCCGTCCTTACGAAGCATTTGGGCAGAATATTGCAGAAAATACGCGACAAATGTATTGGTTTCTGCTTATATGGGCCGTTTAATTATATTGGGGGTACTAAAAGGACTGTAGCTCATTTTTGGCAAAAGTCAACGGGCACTGCTACAACCTAGGTGGGCAGGATAAAAATATTAAAGATTTGCCGAAGTATGGAAATCGTATGATACTTATTAGATGTTGTGGGTCAGTCATACTAGTAATAATGAAAATCCTAATCTAGAACCTAAATATACTATACCTTAATATTTTAATATTCAGCGTGCTGCCTAATTGAATGCCACTATTTGAGGAGGTGACTTTTAGGTCCATTTTAAGAAGAAAACTCGATATGAACGTGTCCTAAGCCTCTTAACTGTTGAGTTACGGAGTGGTAAGGTTTTAAATAATCAATCGCTTTACACTAATATATGTAATAATCACTTTAGCTATATTAATTCAATTTGACATACACGTACTATGTATCAAGGAGCATTTTTAATTTTTAATTTCTACGAATGGCGTACAAAATGTCACCTGCCTATTTTGGCAGACATTGATAGACTGCCAGCAATTTCTCTTAGGATGAAAATTATCCTAAAGATCCGCAATCATGTATAAACAAATCTTGTTGCTTGATTTTCCCAATCCAATGTAGGGTTTTTACTCAAAAAATAAAAGCTGTTTCTCTGCATCAACATTATATCGTTAGTATGACAATATCACCATGCAAAGAAATAGATTTCACTTTTTAAGTGAAAAACGTGATCTGAATTAAAAAAATTCAAGAGAATAATTATGTGTTCATAAATGAATACAGATTTCAATTTTATTTTAAGAAAAGTCAGTGGCGTGCCACACTTGAAAAATTGATCACCTTTTATCACAAAAGTCAAGAAATACGTTCGCATGAAGTTTTCTGCTTAAATGGTCCCAAAAATTGCTCCCTTAACTATTGTCATTAAATTAGGAAACATTTTTATTCCAGAAGTTCTCTAAAGAGACATTTTCCACAAACAACCATCTGCTAATTGGACCATTTGCAAACGTCAATTTTAACCTAAGTCCTAATAAGCAGTGTATTTCATTGAAGGTTATTCCAAACTGCTGTTTTCTGCAGTTCACATTTTGGCCAGTTATTTAATATTATATGTACTAGTAGGCAGGTGACTTGAACAATTTTTGACAAGCAAATAGTCATGCGCCATCTTTTCACCCACCTTGTTCATGTAATCTTGTGAAAGTTGGGTGACTATCGCCACCTGCCAATGATCTGCCAATCTGATTTTCGTCCATCACATACGATGAAGATTTTTTCCTATATACTTGAACCACCACGAAGGGCTGAGGCCTGACCACTCATGGATACTGTGGGGCTATAGGGGGATAACGGGGAAAGGGGGGAACGCCACACGGTCTCTAACGAGGGAACACGTGTGCATACGATAAACAAGTAAACACTACTAGTGCAAACGAGCACGGAACAGCGCTGTCTGCGGTTGGTCATTGTTACAGAGACGGAAAGCACACATGACTATTTCACCTTGATTTTTATGATTTGTTGCCACTGCAACGTTGTCAGCAAATGTTGCGTACTTGTTAATGTGGGTAGATCTAAATAGATCTATAGAGTAACTGCTGTTTCTGTTGAATTCGAATTGAACTAATTTTGAACTATTTATTTGAATTCGCCATTTAGTCAGCGACTTTTTTATGTTCATTAAGTATACTTGTGGAATATGTGTGGCTGCTTGAGGATTTTAATGACTTGTTGCCACTGGAGTATCATGGGATAACATTGCGTACCTGGTGATGTAGGTAGATTTAGCTATACAGGGTGTCCCGAAAAAAGTTTGCAATATTCTACCAGCGGTTTCTAGAGCTTAAAGTATGAAGAAAAGTTCATATAAATATAGGTCGACAAATGTCCCCTAAGGGCGCTACAGTCTTTTAAAGGGGTTCCCGTGATGATGGTTTTTTCTTAATATTTCCGAAACGTGTTGAGATGAAGACATAAAATTTGGTATTCCAGCCTAGTTTTTTATGCTGGATTTAAAAATATTAACAATTTTAGAAAGTTTTGTTTGGAAGCGTATGTAACAGGGACGGACTCAGGTTATTTTAGCCCCAAAATTTTTTGTGACTCTATTTTTGAAATTCAATTTTAGAATTAGAAAATTTAGAGTTTTCTACATAAAAAAGGTACTCTTATTGAATATCGATAAATTGTGGCATTTTTGAATAAAATCAAACTAAAAAATTTGTCACATGTTAGGAAATGTACTGCGAATTTAAATGAATTGTTGATTATACATAGTTAGCCATGACTGCAAACAAAAGTTGTTTTGATTTGATATCACTTATTTCAACGTTAATCTGACGTTAGCAGTGTAAAATTACTAGATTGAAATCAAAATTTTTACTAAACCGATTTAAAATGCCAAGATTTACAGACAGAGAACTGACTGACATGCATTTTGTGTACGGGTTTTGCAATGGCAGTTCATTGGCAGCCGTAAGAGAATATCAAAGAAGATTTCCCAATCGCATAGTACCTGGACGTCGAACGTTCACTAATATTCACCGGAATTTGTCAAACCATGGAAGTTTTCACTGCATGCAGGTCTCAAGAAGGCCACTGGGATATCATCGTATGGATATTGCTTTAAATATGTTTGAAAATAATCCGCAAATAAGCATACGAAATGTTTCAGAAATTATGGATATACCTCAATCAATAGTAAGAAAAATTTATGAATACCTATTTGATAGTTATCCTAAAAATAATAATTTTAGATAGGAAAATGACAAGAATGTAAGGATTACATCTTTATCATTTTAAACGGATGCAGCATGTGACGGAGGCAGATTTTTTACCACGAATCGAGTTTTGCCAGTGGATATTAGCAAATGAAAACACTATTCCTAGAATATTATGATCGGATGAGTCAATATTTACTAGGAATGGTGCTTTTAATTTTCATGTGCATCACTGGTCAGATGAAAATCCAAAAGCTGTTCGCCGTACAAATTTCCAACATAGATTTTCATTGAACTTATGGACAGGAGTAATTGGGGATCAAGTAATTGCGAATATTATACTTCCCAATCGCCTTAATTCAGAGGTGTATCTGAACTTTCTTCAGAATGAGCTCATGGATATAATACCATTGGATGTGCGCCAGCAGTTTCAAGAAAATATGTTTTTTCAACATGATGGCGCCCCTGCACATTTTGGACGCAATGTTCGAAAATTGGTTGAATGTCAATTTTCCAGACAGGTGGTTAGGCCGAGGAGGTCCTATAGCGTGGCCTCCACGTTCACCTGACCTAAATCCATTGGATTTCTATTTTTGGAGGTCATTAAAAGACTTAGTTAGATTTACTTCAAAGAATCCATCAGGCTGCAAATGAAATAAGAAGAATAAGGTTTTCCACTTTTCGGGCTACGCAATCATTAGTTCGTCGAGCGAGACTCTGTATCCAACAAAAGCTATAATGTGACAAATTTTTTAGTTTGATTTTATTCAAAAATGGCACAATTTATCGATATACAATAAGAGTATCTTTTTTATGTAGAAAACCCTGAATTTTCAAATTCTAAAATTCAATTTCAAGAATAGAATCACACCAAAATTTTGGGGCTAAAATAACCTGAGTCCGTCCCTGTTACAAACGCTTCCAAACAAAACTGTCTAAAATTGTTAATATTTTTAAATCCAGCATAAAATACTAGGCTAGAATACCAAATTTTATGTCTTTATCTCAACACGTTTCGGAAATATTAAGGAAAAATCATCTTCAGGGGAGCCCCTTTAAAAAACCGTAGCGCCCTTAGGGGTCGTTTGTCGACCTATGTTTATATAAACTTTTCTTCCTATTTTAAGCTCTAGAAAGCGCTGGTAGAATATTGCACACTTTTTTCGGGACACCCTGTATATGTAGAGTAACTGTTTTTGGATGTATCTCATTCCAAAAGACGGAGTGGGAAAGATACGAAGTAACAAAGTGAAAATTCAGAAAGAGCAGTTCACCACCTGTAAACACATCAACGTCTTTAAACTTCCACGCAACCCCTTACTAGATCATCAAATGATGAAACTAGTATTGCTCTTATTCAGTAGCAGGCCCTCAATACAGTTGACAAAGTGTCGTATCAGGCAGTGACTCACAAACTGTTTGTTCTGGTAGACCACTCAAAAAAAATCTGATTTCAGTGGATCCCCCTCCTGTTACATGATTGCCTATTCCAAGAGCTCAAAAAGAAGTGTGAATATTATATTTTATATTTGCAGTAGTAAAAGTAAAAAGACAAATATTTTCTTATATCCTATATATTAAAATAGCATGATTACAAATTTATTAGGAATAAGACCAAACATTCACAATGCAAAACGTAAAACTTCTTCCGCAATACAAATTAACAGTGCAACAATGCACTTGATGGATTGACGACATATTATCTATATTTGGAATCAGTTTTTTAAGGAATAACCGCAAATATCTTTGGCCTTCAATATTCAATCTGCTCCTTTATTCTGTTAATATATTTGTAACAACACTAGAACCTTTCACCTTCAGCTCCTCATTAGTACAAAGCCTGGGTATCTCGTCTTGTAACAGCACATTTGCAACATCCATTTCATGAGCCATGGTAGTATTTCCATCGTAAGAATATCGCCAAATCTGTTTTTAACGTTATTGTGTAGGACATTTGAATTTTGAACATATTTTTGAATATCATCATCATGACTGTAACAAATGTGAAAGCTTTTACCGAATATCGAATATACAAGTTTTTACGGTAGACAGCCAATAGCCTATTATTTGACAAGACTTTTGTTCCTTACTATCGAAATCGGATAAATTTGCGTGAACTCCCACTTTCAACGTGGGAATACCCTTATAATTTCACGCCAACGAAGATCCTCGTTGAGTCCTCTGTGGACCCCTGGGATCCACCTGAACCACTTTGGCAAACACTGGTATAAAGTAATAACGATGTATTGACAACATCCTAATTTATTACTTGAAGTGAACAAACAGTTGGTAGATTAGCCTGCTGAGTAATCTTGTTACTTTTTGAGCCACTTGCAGTATAAACGTAGCGTACAGGTAACAAGAGATTTTCGTGGATTCTCCCTATAAATATGTATGGAGAGTCTGCCGAGATAGGCGATGGACAGAAGAAGGAGAAGAAGAGCATGAGGCATCATCGATGCCCGCAGATGTACTTCGCCGGCGGAATTTTAATGATTTTTTCGAACAACGATCGGAGTTTTTTGCTGTGCGCCATGGATCACCATACCGGGTAGCCCAAATCAAAATGTATCAAGCCTTAGGCGTGCAATCCAGAGTCGTAGCAAGGGAGGCGAGCGGGGATTAACGTTGCCAGGTATCCCGATTTGCGCGGGTCGTACGAAGGGGTCTGCACGTGACCAGTACATTAGATGTCCCTATAAATCAATAAATTTATTAAAAACCACTATTATTACTAAGAAATTAATTGATAACGCATCATATCACTATGTCGAGAGCGAGCACCCGTCACTCCACTAGCGCCACTTGCCGTACTTATGTGAAAGAGAAGTGAAAAAATCGAAATCTAAGAAAATTGAGGTCAAAATTCTGGATTTTCCGAACTAAATAAATAGTAGATATTATTACGACAGAACAAACTTGAATGATTACTGAAATGTTACATGACTTTATAGAGAGTCATTTAAATGTGACTTTGGATCATTATTGCTGTCGAGGCCTAAAATAAATGACAATTCCCTCTTTAATAGTCGTAAATCAAAAAGCAGTAACATGTAATTTACTGCTTTTATACTCTGCAAAAACAAATTTACTGGATTTTGCACAGATTTCATAATCTATTTAGATATATAATTCTTCCAGTGAAGAAACAGAATTATTAATACAGAATTTTATTTTGCTTTAAAATAATTTATTGATATCGAAATTAATTATTAATTTTAATGTTTAATTTGAATAATTATATCCAACAAAAATAATTATATAAACAGCTTGTTTGATTATATATAAAGTTAAACGAATATATTTTTCAAAATTATTCTTTCAGGGAAAAAGTAATTCATAACCATAAATTTTTATTCACAAGTAATAAAATTATTACATAAAAAAAACTGAAAAACCAAACATCATAATAGGTTACGGAAGGTAAAAAGGCAGTACTTATATCATACGGAGAATGAAAGCGGTATAGTTTGAAAACTATGACTTACTTTGATAAATTGATTTACAGCTTGGCTGTTTAGGAAATTTATTTAATATATGTGTCTGCGATGGGTTGGGAAATCTCGAAACTGGAAATACTACAGACCAAAATACGTGAATTGACCTAAGTATACCTCAGTCTAAAAGTCGATAGTTTGCGAGGTACAGGGTGTGAAAGTTACAATTTTATTTTCTATACCGAGTTTTATGCCAAAATCTGAAATACTTCTCAAGCAATGAGGAAAAATAGAAAATAAAATTGAAACTTTGTACCTCGCAAACGATCAACTTTTGGACTAAGGTATGCTAAGGTCAATTCACATATTTTGATGTCTCCAATTTCGAAATTTTCCAACCTTTCGCAGACAAAGGGCAAAAATAACTTTTTTTAGTAAATGCCTTTTACTTAAGCACGGCAGTACAGATGTAACTATATTTCGTTATCTTGTTAGAATGGTGAACGTTTAGCGATGGTGTTCCACTTACAGATGTCTGATTTCGTTAATTTTTAATATCAGTTATTTAAAAGCGAACGTGATCACGACTTTCGAATAACGATGAGGTTATGGGCTTACTGATGCTCTGAGGAAAATACCCTGATAAAATTGCATGAAATGCACTAAAATATTATTTTATATCGTTGGAAGAAGACGAATGTCCAATTGCGTAGTGGCAATACCTTGAGTCTGACGAAACGGAACTTTCTCTGTCATTTTACCTAAATACACTCTGAAAGTCTTTGAAGATGCAGTACTATGTTTGGGAAAGGCAACGTTGCTGTCTTCTAAGTGCCAAAAAATAATGGTTGAACTCAGAATAAAAATTAGACACATGCAGATGGTTGAATGCGAATTTGTGTGATTCACGTGTAGCAACATATTTAATTGGTTACCTGATGATAAGGTTGAAAATATAAAAAAGATGTGCGTGGTTTAAAAATGTTTTACGCATCACATCTAAACTGTATACGAACTCCAGGAAAGCAGATTAGACTTATTTAGACCATTTCATCTCCAGGACGAGTCATTCACTTACGTATCAATCGACATTGAAATTCTAAGTATTGATACACTCTTCGACATTGATCAGTTTTAAGGAGAAGTGGGTAAAGTCAAAGAGGTAGTGAAGGTAGCAGCACACAACAAAGACTTGGCGCTGCTACAAAAAAGACACAATATCTTCAAAGACAACCAAAACTCTGCAATTCTTAAAAAATTATTTTCTTTTATGGCTTCAATTTGGATAAAAAATAAATTACACAAACTTGATAACTTAATAGCTAATACATAAACTACATGAGTTGCGGAGCACATTAAATTCAACGTTAATTTCAAAAAACCTGGTTTCTTGGATGTATCTACAACCCTAAATCCCCATTTTTAAACAAATGTTTGTTAAAATCCTGATTTTCACATTTCAAACACTCCTGGACCAAGGAAGGAGATTCCCCAGTATAAGAAGCTTTGACTGAAGTTCAGTGATTCTGAAAAATTGATATTGACAGATTTATACAGGATGTTAGGAAAATAATATTCTAACTTGGGTGATTCCTTACATTATACTAAGTAAAAAAGTGCATTATAACCTATGTCCGAAAATCAACCGTTTCCGAGGAAAAAAATGCTGAACTTATTTCTTTTTAGTCATCAAATAAGTTAATTTTGCACCTTAATAATTAAAATTCATATGCCTAATAGCGTAAAATAAATCTATTTATTAAAAAGTGTCTCCAACAAAAGAATGTTCTTGCTTATTAAATACAATTTTCCAAAGAAAAACAGACAAACAAAATCTCTCACACAACTGGCAACGTCGTACTCCGCCTGCACTGCATGAATCATCGCGTGTTGTGTGTTGTGATCACTAATACATTTAACTGTAACTTTATGTGATTTACGGATTTACGGTTGTTTTTTTTCGAGCATCGTTTCAAATGAGTGACTGATAATCGTGGGAATTGGTGGTGTGTATCGCCACGTGCTTGTAAGTTCCGTAATTTTTTTTTAAGTAAATGTACTGTACTGACAGCGTTATTAAATGAAAAATACTAGCCACAAAAAATTGCGTAAAAATATTCAATAATTCAAGACATATTTTCAACAAAAATATACAAACTTAAACAATTCGATGAATCAGTTGCGGTCGTCGTGCGCTTGTATCGCGGTTGCGTTGCAGCGTTGCCAAATGTTTGAGAAAATTTAATTATTTACTTCTCACTTTCCTCGAAAACGATTGATTTTCGGACATACCTTATAATGAACTTTTTTGCTTAGAATAATGCAAGGAATCACCTCTTAAAGTTACGAATATTATTTTCCTTACAGCCTGTATATCTAAACAGAAAAAATGCAATGGTATTGCCGACACAACTATCCTACTTTCTGGCCACGCATTGTGCTCCAACAGTAGCGTATCAAGACGAAAGTTCTGGGAGTGCTTACATTTCACAAGAGGTACTCCAAGCAAATTACCTCATTTTTTTCAAAATTTCAGGACAGAAGCAACTATATGGAAAAATAAAAGTACAGATATTCAAATGTACTAAAATGCTGCCTGAGAATGCTGGTAAAGATGTTTTATGTTCTTATTTTTAAAGTGAGCTTTTAACAAAAAAATTATTTATATGGAGATTGCTTTGGTTTTTTTACGGACATTCTGTCTAGTGAGAATTCTTTCAAAGTGCTACCTCAGAAAAAATAGGTTTCCTAAAACTTGGTGATACTATAATCCTGGGAGAGCTGTATTCATATTGTATTATACTCTACAGAAGACTCTTATGTCCCAAAATATTTCCCAAAAGATTGTACTATAACATGTTGTTTTGTATAATGAAGAACGTGTTAGGTTCCAATGGGGGCTGAGTATACTTTTCATTGCGTGTTTCATGCTTATATTAAATCCTTAATACGAAAGATTATGAAAATTTCATATGGTATCCATTAATTACGTAAGGTGTTCAGGGGGACTGAGTCGAATTTTATCCAATCGTATGGGGGATATATATTTTCCCACAAAAAGCAGAGGTGTTATAAAGATTCTAATTTTAGTATAACATTTAAGCATCTTAAATTCTACTGTGATCTAGTCTTAAATAAAAACAAACAAGCAGCTAGCGCTCTTCAAAACAGGCCCAATGTATCTAAGCTAAAAATATAAATTTTTAAAAATGGGGGAGGGACTCGAGCCAAATCTCTCTACATCTCACCAGGGGGCTCCAGCTTCCCTTTACTTCCCACGCCAATTGACTAGAAAGTATTGCAATTTCGAAAAATTTCTAAATCGAGTTATCATGTTTGTTCGATATTACATGACATGTAGATCCCGAAATGTCACCTACTTTCGTCGTCTATCTGCCCACTAATCCTTGACCTCTCTATGCTATGAATTTTCACTCAAGGGTACTACTATACAATTGTCCTTAAAACTTGAAGAAACCTCAAACAAGCATCGTGTCGGGGCTCTGTCGCATTTGCTGTGCGCCACGAATTTATACCTGTAAGCACAAAATCTTGTCTGCGTCTGTAGCCTAATCGCTCATCGTTCTACGCTACACCGCTTGTGCTGATCAACATAACAAGGCTGACTTGCCAGATGATCCATACTTTTGGTAGCACAGGAAAGAAATTTCTGTATCACAGAGTTATTAAATGGGTGGGGACTATGGAGTAATTGTATAGGCCTATTTGGCTCACTTGATCTATTTCATTTGTTTCTGTTATACATGTTCCTAGCTAACTTTTTCTAAAGGAGCTTACTTGGGTTGTGCATAATACTTTATGAAATGATGACAGCGCTGCATGGAGAGTACTTGTCGACATTTTTTCTTCTCTAAAAACTAAGCTTTTCTGCATCTATTTTAACCGCCAAGGACTGACACATACGTCGTTCAAACCCACCTGTACTTTCGTGCTGCACAGCCCTACCAGAAAAATTACGCTATGTTCATATCGCAATAGTATAAGGCTTTTGTCATTCATTAAAGTATTCCGCCAGAAGATACTCTCCTCATATTTAGGTTGAGGATTGATCCTTCTTTTGAACGTCAGTATCATATTTAGAAATGAACAGTTTTCTCAAAAAGGAAAGTGGAGTCAACCTACTTGACAACATGTTTTCTTCTGTAAAATCATCCCCCTGTCTATCTTAACCGTCTTGGTCTGAGACATATGTCGATACTAGAAAAATTACACTACATTCATATCTCAACAATTTATTGAACAAAGGCTTTTGTCATTCATTAAAAATATTCCGCCAGAAGATAATCTCTTACGTTGAGGTTGAGGAGTGATCCTTCTTTGGAAGTTGGGTCTCAAGCTTAAAAATTAACAATTTTCTTAAAAGGAGAGGGATTATGTTTTCTATCACTTCTAAGGAAACTATTGGGAGCCTGTGAGAATGGAATTGTATGTGACTGTCCAAATACAGCGCAGGGTCAGGCATCTCCTTGGAGAGTACGTTAGTCAATGCTTTTATTATCGACAGCGAGACTGGTAAAAAATAATGTAATTCAAGATACTATTTTTGCTCACACTGTACAATACCAGACAGCATCGCAAGCATATCTTTTGGTGCTGAAACCAGAGCGATCCAACGGCTAAAAATTGCCGTTTTTGTTAGAGCCTTAGTTGTCTTATTGGAATCTGACCGACCATCGATATAGAAGACAATGTTTATAAAAAACGCCAAAAAGAGCGGATGGTTAAAAAGAGATTCTGCTCCGGAATGCGTGCCTATCTTGCACACTCGTATAATATGTGTGACGTCATTAGGGTCGTGATATATTGGGGATGCCGAAAATGTCATAGACCTTGGAAGATCTGCCATGTATTTGAACTAGTTTCAAACTTTCTCTGAGATCTATAACTTTGTCTATTATTAGCAGCATCCTCGATATCTAACCAGTTCAGTTTACTCTTTTTGTTGAGAAATATATTCAGTGGGTTACTTTTACTTTCCACACCAATTGGCAAGGAAGCATCTAAGCTCCACTCATTTCTGTCGGTCTCTCCGTCCGCTAATTCTTGAACTGCTCACATTTTGAGGAAATGTTGATACAACGTTACTGTTGACTATGCTAAGCGAAAAAGCTTGGTGTTTTTGAAAATCGATCAAGTGGAAGCTGAGCTCCGGGCATAAATAGAAAAGTTAAATACCGTTCAAACTTCGCTTTAGGGATGATTTTAGAATTAGGGGTGGGAAAGCATATACCTCAATTGTTTGGAGCTAGTATATTTCATTTCCAACCCCGACTGTTCTACCCTCCCATTAGACATATTCCACACATATATGTATTTCTCAGCACATTTGTCCTTACAGAGAAGTATTTTCAATGCACGTAACGAATGCAACTAAAGTAGGGAGATATACGTTTAGTCCAAGCGACGTTGCCAAATGATCGGTGCTGTCGGTAGGGCAGAAAAGAAATGTTTAGATCGCAGCGTTGTCATATGAATGGGGAGTAGGCCCTTATTCTATGCACCTGCTTCATTGACTTGATCAGTTTAATTTTTTGTTTCACATCTTTTTTTTCTCACTATACAAGGGTCCAAAAATGTATGCCACTTCAAATTCCGCGTAAGCAGTGGCGTGCAAGTGGTATGCCACTTCCATTTGCAAGGCTATAGTCACTAAAGTTACTTAAGAAAGATGATCAATGGGTGGCTTTTTATAGCCTTAACACATATTTTTGCTTCTAGGAGTCAGCTCATGTTAACTATATACTTTGTTTCAGGTGATAAGCCCCACTCCTGTCAGCTGTGCAACAAAAAATTCGCACTGGCTTGCAATCTGAGGGCTCACATGAAAACGCACGAAGGTAAGTATGGGGAGTATCCACAATATTTTTCATTTTACACTGATTCCAAAAATATGGTCAAGTATATTGACGTAGTGCTTCCTCCAGAAAACTTGTTGAGTATTTTTGAGGCTGCATGGAAATGTGTCGGAAGACATTGACAAATCAGGGTTTTGAAAATTTCATCAGTACAAAAAGTACCTCAAACCTCGTTGATAGTACTTGCAACTTGAAAAATAGGTTCCGATAATTCACAAGTTTGAATTACCCTAATTTTCTATACAAGGTGTTTCAGGGAGACGTGGCAATATTGCTAGGGTAGAAAGTACATCCAAAAATAACAAAACAAGCTCCCACAAATATGGGTTCAAAGAATCTCCCCTACCGAGACAAAGGGTACTCGAGTTTTATTCACAAAATTAAAATATATATTATATATATATCTATATATATATATATCTACAGAGCGGGTAAAGGAACTGATTTAAGACTTCAGTGGTTTGGTGAGCACATCATAACTATTAAATACACCGAGTGTACTGGCACAAACCAAACCATGGATGTAGCAACCTGGACCTAGACACCTGGAAGGAAATATTTTCCACGTAACTGGCCTTTTCGGAGAAAAGAAGTACATTTTATATAATAACATTCAATTTTCCATAAGGAATTTTTGTCATGTCACTCGTTTTGGAGATATTTAGTTTTGAATATTTGAGGTAAAATCCTAAAATATTCTCATGACAAGGTTTATCCTTCCCTATTCTGAAAGCATCGCGAAGCTTGATATTGGAAATACTATATGGCATGTGAAGAAAGCATTACAACATTACCACATTAATTGAATAATATGCATGTCTTGTCCTCAGTCTAGAACCTTACCATTCATTAAACCTTTCCTGTGCACGCCAATGGTTTTGCCTCGGGAAACAGTGATTTTTATAATGACTACACATCACATGCTTATATTTCATTCAGTGGTGTTCCACAGGGTTCGAACTTTAGACCATTGTTGTTCATATTATTCGTTAATGTGTGAATCTTTGGCTTGTTCTAAATTGATGTTCGCAAAATTCTATTTATCTGTATTCTGCCTGAAAGACTGTTTATTTATCCAATGCCAGATTAATTTACTGTAAAGCTGGTGCATCAAAAATCAACTTCGTCTTAATATAAATAAAGGTAGAATAGTATCTTTTTCTAGAAAAACCAAGGCATCTACTTACATTTAACATTCAATGAACATATTGATCAAACTATTACAAGCGTTTTCAAAACGTATGACACAATTATCAGGAATTGAACAAATGTTAACGCTTGTACTTTACAGATTTTATACTTTAGCTTGGTAGGGTCTAAGCTCGAATATGAGCAGAAAGCAATATATTGATGCAGTTGATAAACTTCAAAAAAAAACTTTTAAAATTTTTTTGTACCAAGATGGATGGCATATATCATACTAGGGGTACAGAATATAACACCCGTCTTTATAGATTAGACTTTCAATCCTTAGAACAGCGGCGTAACTTTCAGCAATTCCAGTTTTGTATAAGCTCTTGCATAGTCTTTTGTCCCACAATAGTTTCACAAATACAGTTTCTGGTATCATTACTAACATCTAGATATAATCTTACTTTTTATGCCAACGAGCTCAAACGAAATTATTGTCGAAAGCGCCCGTTAACATGATGCGTGTGAATGCTAATAAAATCACCGACGTATGCGATTTTTTTTTGTAGCGTAGGCGAATTGAAGAGCATCCTGCATGCTAATTTTTTATTTCCTTTACTCTTTCTGCTAAATATAATTTTTTTGTATCGATACATCATTGTTATTTCTTTTTTATAGTAAGCTTTGTAAATGGTGTTAAATTGTTGGCCAATAAAGGCTTATTATTAATAGTGTTATAACTAAACACATTATTGAGTGTGTTGTTTGTGCGTATGTAAACATGATTTTTAGTGTAACATTGGCCTGAGGCGCTTCCCTAGAGGTAGACTGTCCTCCTTCCTCGCCCTCTAGGTCGATTTCTGGGTACGCTATTGAAAATACGAATTATAACATATTATAGTATATTTTCTATACCGGATGAGATGCCTAGGATTCCCTCGACAGGTGCCGGTGGAGCAGGTATCCGTCTGGCCTGATCTGCATACGCCCTTGTCTGTAGTAATAGTTACAATGTCTCTGTACTGAACGAAAACTCGACGAAGCAAAAACCTACCTGTTTTAAAATTTAAAGGCCACAAGAGGTGTCTACCCCAGACTTAATCCTCTGAACAATTCCTTGAACTCAGACTGGGTTTTATGGGACAATTGGCACTAAAAGGTCGTCTGAGGGTACAGATTATGAGGGATTTATTTTTTATTCTTCGGACTCGTCAATTGCAAGGTAATCACTACATAATCAGATGCAAATGCTGAAATGGTAGATGGAATAAGGGCTTTCCAAGAATTTTAGTGGTATACGTGACAATAAAACTAGAGGGGTCTTCTATTTTAGAATGCATTTATTGTTATGTTTTAGTGTACATATATAAAAGTCTACTAGCTACTTTTGCTCTTGGATATTCACGATATTCGTTAACTCTATCAAATTATTTTGTTTTAAATTCCGGTAATTTTGAGCTTAATGGTTCCTAATAAAGAATCTAGAAGAAACTGCTATGGTATATCATTATTATTTTGTTATTATCATAACATCTATGAAGTTGCACCATATAAAAAAGTTTTAAAGTTCTAGATAAATAGATGTACTTTCAGAATCAGCATTCCTATTATGAAGCTTGCTGGGTTTTAGGAATTTTGTGACTCTAAGTTGTTTCTAACATCACTCTAAAGCGACTATTTGAAATTGAATAACTATGAAAAATAAAGTTTCCGATTTTTTTGGGAAGACGCTGGTCGCAAAGAAATATTTGAAGACGACCTAAAGTGACCAGATGCTTGAAAGCGTTGATAAATAGTTTGTATTTTTCCAAAAATATCACTCCAAAAATGCTTTCACTGCATCCAAATATTATCGAAAGACAATATACGTATATATACAATATATACATATAATATACAAGTTTAGAGACGATATAAAACTTTTACTCTCGCAACCCACTGAGTTTGTCAAACATAAAGAAATCCAATCACCAAATATCAAAATATCCGATATAGTTGCTTTTGGGTATCAAGATTGTGGTAAAATCTGCCTGATGAGGATTTTTTCAGTTCTACTAACCTTAGACGGTACAAAAATCGGATTAACATACTTTCTTTAAGCTCCTCATAGCAGCCGCGGCGCCGATATTTAGACTTCTGCCTCGGTATGAAAAGACCCTTTAAAACAATATACCGACAATTACCATAAATCTATACATTTGATGTTTGATTTTGAACCGGCATATACGCAATACTGAAAACAACAATAAAGAATAACCCTTGGTATAATATTCGAACAACGTCTAGACGTACTTGTCACCTTATTTGAATGCTCAAAACTGAGAGCAGACTGGGTGTCTCAATTATTGTATCATTCATCAATTCAATTAGAGAGCGGTGGGGTCTAATGTAGTAATAGTAGTAGTAGTAGTAGTGGTGGGGGGGGGGGCGAAGCCTGGCAACTAGGCCACCGGTAGGGGTCTAAAATATGGTTGCAGTCAATCGCATTTTGTCTAGGAGGGGGGGTGCTTGATCCGCCCTTGGGGAGGCTTACATTTCACAAAAGGTATAGCATGCTGTATACAAAAACTCGGGGTGTTGACGTTTTAGGAAAAAAATTGAAATTAATTAATATTTTCAGAACCGCTTCAGATATTTCACTGATATTTGGTACGTAGTGAAAGGTAATAAAGTTCAATGCATAAACAATTTTTAGAATTAACAGTGGCGTGCATACGGGTATTGATTTCGATATTTTTTAAGAAAAAAATGGTACGCTGATGGCTTTTTGCCAAATAAAAATTATTTCAGAATTCCCCGTTCAATTTAAAACAAATGATCTGTCTTGAATTGTTTTCCTTCCATGTGCCGTTTTTGAGTTTTGAGTAAAAAAATAAAAACCGTTCTATTGTCCGAGAAAATTAATGTAATAATTGAAGAATGCAATTTAGCAATAAATATCTAGTTGCTCTGGAATATGTTACTGGCTTTTGACATCTGACAAGTCTGTGTTATTCAAATCTGTTCGCTGTGACATCTTTTTCATTATTTAGTTTTTACGATCTTATTAATAATGGTGAATTATTCAAATGCAGAAATGGTGGGAATGCATTACGTATATGGCCTTGCCGACGGTAATGGTGAGCAAGTCAGACGGATTTATCACCAGAGATATCCCGATCGTGTTTTGCCAGGTAGTAGAACCTTTTCTAATAATCATCGTCGTCTTGTTGAAAGTGGTTCTGTCCGAAAAGGACATCTGAAGGTATACCTCTAAGTGTGAAAACATCTGAAATTGAGGAAGCAGTGCTGCACGAAGTCGAAGAACATCCTGAAACGAGTACGAGGAAGATCGCTAAAATATTTGCCAACAAATTGTTTGGAGAATTTTAGTGGATTTTTTGTTATATCCATACCAAATTTTAAGAGTACAGGCATTACTTCCCATTGATTTTTAAAGGCGTGTGACCTTTTGTCAGTGGTATCTTCAAAAAATTACGCAAAATCCGCAATTTGAATCAATGATTCTGTTCACGGACGAAGCTAATTTTTCTCGAAATGCCTTTCAGTATTTCCACAACAATCATTTGTGTGGCAGAAAAAAATCCCTATGCCGTAACCGAAACCCATTTCCAACACCAAATTTCGGTTGACGTATGGGCAGGAAGGAATTGTTGGCAACCACTTTATTGGCCCATTCTTCTTGCCGGTATGACTTAACGGACAGACAACTTTCTTCAACAACAGTTGCCGTTGCTGCTTGATGATGTTCCGTTAGTAATAAGAAACAATATGTGGTACATGCATGATGGTGCACCAGCGCATTTCAGTGTAGCGGTCCGTAATTATTTACAAACCAAATCGTTGGATTG